AACACACAGATGTGACACAAGTTTTCTTTCAAGAATTTCAGGTGCAGTTCCCCCTGAACCCCTACGCCAATCTTCTTGAAACTTGGCAGGGTTCATGCTCTCAGCAGAGGCTACCACCCCTGCAAACTTCATTCAAATCAGACTAGAAACAACAAAGTTATAGATATGTCATTGGTGCCCCATTATACCCTATGGCTGGATCTCCAAAGTGGCTCCGAAGCTTTGTTGAAGCACTTCAGAATCTCCAAACCACCTCGGGAAGCCTAACGAAGCCAGCAATTTGATCCGGACATGCTGCTTTGGATTCCAAAGCATCTGAAGCTTCTCTGGATCCAAAGCACAGTCCGAAGCCTCGCACAGCCCTACTGTCCAGTGTGCTCTGCTTGGTGTCACCCCCTGGCACACTAGTTTTAAACCTCTGAGCCTTGCTCCCATCCCTGTTTTGTCTTTCATTGCCCCAAGCATTCTGTTTTTGCCTGTGTAGTGACCTCCCTTTCTAAGCAAGGCTTATAGTGTTCCCTTGTGGGCACTGGCCTAGGTCCCTATGCATCAAATAGGCCTGCCTGTTCCCACAATACAAATGACCTGATTCTTTCTGCTGCTGAATGCTAGCACTTCAGCTTCCTGAAGAAGCCCCCAAACCAGCCCTGAGCCAGAGAAATTTCCTACCCCAAAGCCAAGCTTGAGGGATCTTGAAACCACTCCTTGACACTTGCCCTGGGCTTCAAAACTGCAGGAACAATTAATGAAGCAGAATGAAGCCTACACTCTGGCAGTGCTCCGCCCAAAACTGTTGACTACAAATGTCCAACTCAGGATCCTTCAAATGCTGGTTTATTAGGTGGATTGAAACACTGTAATGAAGTTAAATCATAAACCTTGGGGCTGGTCCCCACACACACACACACAGTAGCAAGCTACAAGAATCAGGTATACCTATCCTACAAGCACTGGAGTCTGCCATCGATGGCCAGTCGAGGCTTCTTTCAGCGTGGTGTTATCCTCCAGAAGGGGGTCGCCGGCTGGTCCTTTTGGCTGGACAGGTCGGGTGCTGGTCGAGTTGGAGATCAAGAGGGCGCCGCTGAGGGTCACTTTTCACTGCTTTTTCTCTGTCCTTGGCAGACTTTGGTGACTCCCCAGTTTTCAGGTTTGCCCAATCCAGGGGTCATTGACCCTCATGGGACTTCCCCCCTCGGTGGCTACTGGATGGCATCTGTCAGCCCCAGGGGTCGTCCACATGTCCGTGCAGGTTTGGGATTCCATTGATGAATTTTGAATAGGGCTCTGGGAGCAGTCGATCTGGAGATATTCAGCCCAAAAGTTGGTCCCCGGCGTTGATTAACTCAGGCCAGGGCTTTTAGCCCTGGATCAGTGATGTTTAGAGATTTCCCGGTTGTTACATTGTCTTCTATTGAGTTCTTCTGTTGGTTGACCTGCAGTTTCCTTAGGTGTTAATTGCTGTCTGCTACTAGTGTGTTACACATTCAATCACTGATCCACTTGCTCTTTCAGGGGCCCTCCTGATACAGGGAAGCAGCAGTTTGACTCCTGCCCTTGTTAACATTGTTACTAAACACACTGATAGTTGAAAGGTGAGGAGTATAAAATATAAGCTACAAATGCCATGGCACACAAATAGATAAAAATACCAACATACACAGGGAGATACAAAATGCGCACACATAAATTTTAAAACACAATTCCTTATCTTAAAGTGAAAGAAAGAGGAAGGAAGAAAAGGTAGAAGAGGAAAAACATATTTAAAGAGGGGAGAGCAAATGCAGGCAAGAGGAAAAGGGGACTTTCTGCTACAAAACCTCAGGCCCAAAACCTTCCCAGCAGTGTGGGACATAAGAATCCACCTGGCCAATCTAGACCTCTTACCTTCCCTTGCCTTGCAGGGGACCTGGCTGCTCCCAACATTCAAACAGCCTAATCTTTTCAGCTACTCAACCCAGCACTTCAGTTTCCTACAGAAGCCCCAAACCCATCTCCAGGAGGGAGCCCCCCTCCCAACTCAAAGCCAAAGCCCTGCTTAAGGAGCCCCCAAACCCTTCCCAGACCCGAGCTATGTTCTCCGGCTGCAGGAAATGCGAGAGGCAGAATGAAGCCTACGCCCCGATGTACTGGCAGCCCCCTCTCAAAAACCTTCTCAACGCTGTGTTAAGGGAGGGGGATGTTTCAGGGTGTGTTGATGCTTGGGGATGGTTGGGCTCCCTTTCAACCATAAATGTGTTTAGTAACAATGTTAACAAGGGCAGGAGTCAAACTGCCATTCCTTGCCAATTTCCTAAGC